AAAAAATAAAATAAAATAAATGCAATAAAATACAGAGATCCTTTTTCCAAAGCCAGTTTGCCTCCAAAGATGAACAGGCCAGCATCCAGACACCTGGTTTCTGAGGAGTAGGGGTGCTGGCGTCTTCACCGCTAGCAGGGCGAACCCCTGTAACATATGGGTCTTGTAGAAACAGCCTGGGCCGCTTTGGTCGTCAGGAAAAAAGAGATCTGCAGTGAGGCCCCAGGGCCTTTGCACAGGCTGCGCCCTCACCAGAAAATCTCTCCCTGCTACCTCTGAGTTGCTTCTCCCAACCCCTCTCCCAGGTGCTATCTCTCCTGGACCCTGACTTTCTTTCAGGACACTGACTGTCACCCGACATGCCCACACACCTGTCTCCCTCACTAGACTGTGTACCACCTGGGTCCCAGGGTATAGTTCCCACCCGGAGGTAGTACTGCTCCCCAGGGGACACTGGGTGATGTCTAGGGACATCTGTGTTGTCACGACTGAGCTGGAGGCCAGGGACCGGGCTCAGCATTCTGCAGTGCCAGCAACGACCCAGCCCGACGTCCAAGGGCTGGGGACACCCCTGGGGGCGCAGCGGCAGACCTCAAACTGGGTCCCGGCCTGCACTGTCAGCGTCGCTTGGAACGATGGAAATGCACATTCCTGGGCTCTGCCAGCGCCGGGGACACCGCTCAGCACTCCCAGGGCCACAGGACGGCCCCAGTGTCCACAGGCCCAAGGGGAGAAGCTGCCGTGGGCCAGCCCTTCTGGTCTCACAAGCTCGGACAAAGCCCAGTGTCCCTGAGTCCTCGGCCACCCCACTGACTCCCAGCAGCGCCAGGTGGGTGGAGCAGTGGCCACGGGACAGGGCTCTGAACCGCCTGTCCCCTGACTGCCGGGGTGCCCTGGAAAGGTCGAGACGGGTGCAGAGCAGCATGGCACAGACCAGGGAGCCCTTGTGGCGACAGGCTGGGCGCTGGTTCTGTCCTGAGGTTGACACAGCTCGGGCCTGGGCAGGCAGCCGGCCGGCACGGGGACAGGGGTGATGCAGCTACCTCTTGTCCCAGCAGGGCAGGGGGTCCAGTCGGGAGCTGGTGGCCAGGACAGTCCAAGGGAGCCATGGGCTGGGAGATGCCATCTCCCCGCCGGTTCTCCTGGGGCTGGGGACCCACTCCAGTCCCGCCCCGTCCCGCCCGCGCTAATAGCTTCTGCAGTAGAGACACAAACACGACACCGCAGAGGCGACACACTGTTATTAGGGTTGATTCAGTGCTGGGCCCAGGCGCCGCCTGTCAGCCCCCTTTTGTCTCCAGATTGAGGGGGTCTGGTTGGCTCCACCCAGCCGTCGTCTGTACTGAGAACCATGAGGTCTCCCGATGGAAGCCGCCCCCCTCCGGCGGGGGGCCCTGCACCCACGTCTTGAATCAATTCTTGGGCCTGTTGGGCTCCGAAGGGTATCCTCACCCTACCCCGCCCACTCGGTTGCAGGAGAAAAAAGCCTGCCCTGTATCTGGACCCACCTGGGGTCTGGCTACATCACCGGGCGCGCCTCCGGGAGCTGGACGGCGCGGGGCCTGACCTGGGTCCCCCCCCCCCGCTGTGACAGAAGCCCTGGCCAAATATGTGGCCCAGCCAGGGGCATGACAGTCAGACAACGGCGGTGCGGAGAGCGCTGTGCTCAGGGCTTGCTTTTTCAATCGAGCCGTCTGTGCTACCGAACGTCCTGTCCAAGACACGGCCACCGCCCTGCCCTCTGCCAGTCGGCAGGTGCTACCCATCCTCTGTCCGTGTCTCTTGTGAGGGGACTGTCCACACGACCGGCCACCACCTGCCCTGGGTCTTCCTGGGAGGCGGGGCTGGCTCTGTGCCCCCGGGCCCTACGGACATCCGGGCGGGTCTTTCTTTGGGCAGCGTCCCTGGCCTCCACCCCCTCCGTGCCAGGAGCACCCCAGTTGTGACACCCACACACGTCTCCGGACGTCACCCAGCATCTCCTGGGGACAGGATCACTCCGAGTGGTGGTCAGACTCGGTAGGACACCCCCGAGTGGACCCTCGGCTCCTGTGGTCACGTGATGCTTCTGCGATGTAGCAAAGCTGCAGGGTGTGGATGTGGCCTTTGGGCCATGCTTTCTGCCCTACAGTGCTTGTAGTGTCCAGCCTGGCACAGGGGCTGCTAGCAGTGACAAGCCCCATCTCCCCAAGCAGAAGCCCCCGTGGCCGGGTGACAGAGCTGGTGTGGTCAGAGCTGGGGGATGGAACCACTGGGCGGCATCCGATAGGTCTGGTCCGGGCCAGACTCGACACCGTTGCCCCAAGGACCCCAGGGGTGGGCTCTGCTCCTCTCCAGCTGGGTGTGAGGCGACAGTTCGTCTTCCTACCCCATCAGACCTCCTGACCTCTTTGAAAGCTGGAAAAGCAGACCGCATAGGCCCTGGTGCCCAGTGGCGCTGAGAGGCAGGCCTTGGGCTGGACCCTGCACCTTTGAGCACAGCAGGCAGGGGAGGATGTGGCTTGGGGCTGGGGACCCCAGTGGCTCGGTCCGGGCCACGACTTCTAACTGCAGCCACGGGTCCTTCCACGTGGCGGGGCTCCTCCGTGGCTCAGTGACCCTTCAAGAGACCACAGGGCCGGTCGGGCGGCGTGGCTCAGCCTGCCTTCCCAGCACTTAGGGAGGCTGGGGCGCGTGGACTGCCTGAGCCCGCGGGTTTGAGACCAGCCCGGGCAACTTGGCGAGACCTTGTCTCTACAGTAAATTGAAAAAGTAGCTGGGCGTGGGAGCGTGGGCCTGTAGTTCCCACCACGTGGAAGGCTGAGGCGGGAGGCTGGCCGGAGCCCTGTGGGCCGATGCTGGGGTGGCCGTGAGCGTGACACTGCCCTCCAGCCTGGGCGACGGAGTGAGACTCCAACTCAAAAAAAAAGAGACCACAGGGTCTCGGAGGGTCCTGGGGGGAGGGGAAGAGGCACCCTAGGGTCCTGGGTCGGGGTAGCTGGGCCTGCAGGTGGCAAAAAGTTGCGGGTGTCCCCAGGGCCACCCCGGAGAGCTGGCAGGCGGCAGGCCCCTCTTCGAGCTTTTGGCAGTGATGGGGGAGGGGCACACAGCCAGAGACCCCAGAACTGAGTGTGTTCTGTCCCCATGGGGCCGCGGCAGGGAGCAGGGAGGGACCCCGAGCCTCCCGCCCGAGGCCCAGACGCCCTGACTGCCACTCAGCTCCCACCCCTGGCAGCAGACTCCAAGTCCCTCTCCTGGCAGGACCCAGCCTCGCCACCCCCCCGCCCACCTGGGGCAAAGGCCAGGTGGTCCCAGCAGGGTACTCAGGGCAGGAGGAGGTGGAAGGACCTCGCCCATAGGACCCCACGAGGCCCCGCATCCCCGGGGCACTTCCCCGGCACGGGGACAGGGTCAGACTCCACAGGGTTCAGGGATGCGTTCCCGGTCAGAGATTCAGGAGAAGCTCCCAGAAACGGCCAATGCCTCATGGCCCGCAGGGTGGGGCCCCAGGAGCAGATGTGACCGGCTGTCCACAGGGGTCTCGCGGTGGCCCTGCATCCTGGCCTCGAACGACACTCGACGCCCGGGGACCGGCGCCATCTTGAGGTCGCTCCTGCCCGCCTGGGAGAAGCTATGAGCTGTCCTGGGCTCCCGAGTGGCCCGAACGACAGAGCGCCTGCCGGGCCCAAGGCTGGGGCAGACGGGCCCCTCCTGGTCCCCCGCGGCTCCATCTTCTGGGTAGCGGGGAGGCGGGCACAGGGCACCAACCCAGGGCAGAGGGGGGCCCGGGCCCCGACCGGCTGCCGGACAGCAAGGGGGGAGTAGGGCACTGCCAAGGGTGACGGGGAGGCTGCCACGGCCCCGGCGGAGCAGGGGACGCCGAGGCCCAGGGGTGGGGGCCTGAGCTGGGGGCAGAGCGAGGCCTGGGGCTGCCGGCTCAGGTGGCCAGGCCAGGTCCCCAAGGCGCCCGGTGGCTTCCAGCGAGGCAAGTCCCCGAGGGAGGCAGCACACGCCCCCGACCGTGGGTGACCAGGACGACAGAGGTTGCCGGCAGCCAGAGCCCGGGCTGCCCGGCCCACGCTGCCCCTGGTGCCCTGCCCTCGGGGCAGTGGCCAGTTTCCAAGGGCTAGTGTGTCCAGGAAGGGGATGGCGCGCATGGCCCCCACCCCACAGCCAGGGGGCCGCCTTCCTCTGGCGATCCTGGGCGTGACCAGGGCTGAGGACCCACGGCCAGGCTGCCCC